CAAGGTTGAATGTAAGCCTCTAATGGCTTTTGGCCTGTAATGGCATGCATGTGAGCCTGTATAAAGGCATGCTAGAGGTGCTTGCACTTTTTCACACACATTTTTCTTGCTCTGTTGGCTGGATGGGCTTCATCCATGCACTAGGTGTGCTTGCACTTTTTCACACACTATTGGTTGTGCTCTGTTGGCTGGATGGGTTTCATCCTTGCACTATAGGGCCCTTAGCCTGGCTTCTCTTTGCAGCTCATGGCTCAGGAACCTTGGACTGGCTGGCTCCCATGTCTGCCAGCCAGTCCAAGGGCATGTGGTCACATACCACCAGGACAGCAGCCATCCACCTTCTTCTTTGTGCCACCATGGAGTCAGGCCAACATGCGTCATGCAGGCAGGCCAGAGTGCTCCACACCCAGAGGTGGCTGGTGTGCCAGACACAAGCTTGACTTGGGCCAGACACTGCTGTGCATCCACACATGTGTTCACAGCTGTGCATCCACACATTTGTTCACAGCTGTGCGTCCACACAAGTGTTCACAAAAAAACAAAACATCAGCCTGCAAGGGCAATGATGAAGATGTGAAGAGGCTATACAAGGGCTACATACATTCAGTCATGACAAAATGTGCCTGTAAGGGCAACATGTGCTGGAAACATAAGAGCAAAAGGCACTGCAAACATACACTACACCTTTTTTCATCCCATGAGCAAGGCTAAACTCCCTACTTCTGTTCCCCAGCAATCACTTGTGTTAAGGATTGCAAGTCCAACATATTACTTCAGCCCATTTTTTTGAGCAAAAGCAACCCATTCAGCTCTGTTCATTCTGAGGCCAGTGTAGGAAGCTGAGCGGCACTGGGTGCATCCATTCACACACCCTCTGCATTTTCGACATCCAAGCTTCAAGTTGCTTGCAGGCTTCACCTTTTGCTTCTTGACAGGCATGGTCTTAGCTTCAGGCTTCTGCTGAGCTGCAGGTCTTTTCATCACATTCCTGTTCTTCAGCTTCTCAAAAGCTTCCTTTTCACATGCCTCCAAGCCCATGTCATTGTCAGCCTCTTTCTTCTGCTGGGCTGCAGGTGCATGAACAGGTCCAGTGCATTGTTCATGCTTTGCATCATCCACTGGAAGGGGAGGTGCATCTTGCAAAGCAAGGGTTTTGGCTTGAGGCTGGCTACCCATTCCTGCCTTGCCCAGCAATTGGACTTGCACATCCTGTGAAGCACCTGTGCCAGGCTTGAAGCTGCCAGTGTTCATCCCTGCACCTACATTCATCAACAGCCTGGCCAAGAACTGCATCCCCTGGCTCATGTCATTCTCTGGCTTGCAGGTGGCCAGGCTCCCAGAAGAAGCAGCCTGTTGTTCACCCACACAAGCCTCAGCTTTATTTTCAGAGCGCGCCACAACTACTTAGAACCAAGAAAGACCAGGCCAAACAAATGCAAAAATAAACACATGCACAGTTGCATTCAAGGTTCCCTCTTGTTCACCCCTTTATTTGTTGAGCGCACTGGTGCATGGAACTTCAAAATCTGGGCTAGTCCTGGAAACTGATGTGGCACAGGTGGCTGGTCTCCATAGCAAGCATTCAAATGTTCCTTGCTAAGTTCACTTGGACTGTTGGGGTAGACAGCCAAGCTAACAGCCTTGCTGGGCACCTCCACATTCTGTGTCAAGAAGGAGGTCTGAAAGTGCTGGGACAAGACATAGATGGAGTCTGGAGGAGGGATTGCACTTCTTTCAGCTTCAAAAAAGACCAAGATGGCCACTGCAGCCTTCTTTGTACTCTCCTTCAGGTTTCTGACACCCAGAAGCCTCAATCTTTTGGAGAGTACTGTGCACCCATGCCACATATCCACACTCTTCAAGGTGGCAATGTCAGCCTGGTTGAGGTACTGGTCCAGGCAATCACAGCACTGAGGGACAGCATGTTGCCTTGTAGTTTCCATGGCAACTGTAGAGTTGTCATCCAACATGCTGGTGAGACCATTCACCACATCAGTGGGCAACCTGCTCTGACTGAGGAAGTCATACAGCTCCACCAACTGGGAAGGCTGCAAGGGGAGCATTTGCTTCAGCTTGGCTTGGAGCTGCTCTATGATTTTTTGTCTCTTCCCTTCTTCATTCAAAGCAGGCCTTGCCAGCAGCAAAGTTTGCATCATCTCCATTTCCTTCTTTAAGTCATTGGTTGTCCACTGGCATCCACTCATGGCCCTGTGTGGGGATCACAAAGCTGATATACAGGCTATACTAACAGAAGCCAAACACTTGCAGAAAGTGATGCTATCAAAGGAAGAACACACCATTAAGGAAAGGTTAGGAAGCTTGAAGGCTAACAAACACAATGCTGCACTGGAAAGGGCCTATAAGGGCCATACAAGCAGGAGCCTGCAAAGGCTTGCAAAACCTAATCCTACACCATACATATTTTGTAAGGGCTACAACTAGACAGAAGCCTGTAGGGGCCATCAATATATATGAGCCTGCAAAGGCAATGAGCCTATAAGGGCCATAGATGCAGAAGGCTGAAGAGGCCAGCACAGGAAAGAGCCTATAAAGGGCTATAGACAGACATGGACCTGCAGAGGCTACCAGCAAGAGCCTGCAAAGGCCACACACACACAGTTGCACATTTTTTTTTATTCATTCTTCTTCCTTCAGGTTGAGGCTGAACATCTGCTGTGTTCTCAGCCATTCCAGGCACCAACTAAAGGTGCCATTTATTCCTAAAGCATTTGTTCATTCACCAGGAGGGAGAGCTTTGCTCGACTCTCTTGGTGGAGAACAAGGTTAGCACTATTGGACCAACCCTATTGCAGTAATTCTGCAATTTGCGCTTGCTCATCCAAAACTCCCATCCTTAGTACAGGCATAGGCCAGTCTGCACAGGCTACCACCTAACCCATAAGCCTGTACAGGCATAGGTCAGCCTGTATAGGCTACCACCCACCCCATGAGCCTGTACAAGCTACCATACACACCACATACCACCCAACACACAAAGAAACAATGCATAGGTCAACCACACACCCCATGAGCCTGTACAGGCTACCATACACACCACATACCACCAATCACACAAAGAAAAAACAAAACCTTGCTGAACATAGGGCAAGGAGCCATCATCATACAAAGCGACTCTCCATTCAATTCCTTCTGCCCATGCCCACCAGCTGTCCATCACATGTGGATTCATAGCCCATCCATTGATCCTGGGTCATCCATAGAATATTTCATCTATTCATCTAAAACCTATCCACCTATCCATGCTACACACTACACAAAGAAACACATGCATAATATGTATATGTACCCTCTAGCTATAGTACTACATTTACTGCAAAGTATGTAACACAAGAAGTGAATTTGATAAGACAAAAACAAAAATGTACTGAAACTAGCCAAGTAGCGTCAATTTTTGTCCACTCACCCATATGATCTCAGTGCAATCCCCAGACAATTGGACATCCACAATTCTGTCCTCCTGCCACTTGGGACGTGTGTCAACCACACCATACACCCTTGACCAGGTGAACTCTTCAGCATCATCCCATCCAGCCATTGCTTTCTCTCCAAACACTCACAAACAAATCTATCTTTTCACAATCACAGGCACTTGAAGTGCAAAAGGCTACAGTACAAATATATTTGCAAACAAAGGTTCAAATGAGATCTTGAGCCTGTAAAGGCTTTTGTTTTGGTAATTGCATTGAACCTAAACCAATATATAGTTTGTATCTAAATATATGTGTGTTTATTATGAAATTATGTTTGTTTATTAAAAATATTAATTATGTTCTATTTTTGAAAAACAAAAAACATATTTACAATTTAGTTTAAATCATAATTCAGCATACATAGGTTATGCATTTGAGTTTAAATTTTTAAACTCAAATGCAAATGATTTGCATTTGAGTTTAAAATTTTAAACTCAAATGCATACGGTTTGCATTTGAGTTTAAAATTTTAAACTCAAATGCATATGGTTTGCATTTGAGTTTAAAATTTTAAACTCAAATGCATTTGGTTTGCATTTGAGTTTAAAATTTTAAACTCAAATGCACATGGTTTGCATTCAATTGCCTTTGCAGGCTCATGTTTTCAATGGCCTTTGTAGGCTCCTGTTTTCAATTGACTTTGTCATCTGGCCATTACAGGCAATTTATATAGCCTTTGCAGGCATTTGGCCATTACATGCATTTTGACTTTCCAAGCATGTGCATGGCCATTACAGGCACTTACCTCACCCTTAGCTTTTACAATCTGAAAGCCATTAAAGGCTATTTTTTGTTTAAATACTTGTGTATGGCCTTGTCATGTTCAAATTGAT